ACACACACACACACACACACACACACACACACACACACACACACACACGGGTCAGTTTTACAGCACGTCAGCATGATGCAGAGAAAAGAGAAGTGCCTCAGTCAGCTTCACACACACACGGCAGCCTCGTTGTTTCCCTGTGAACGAAATGTTTTTTAGTCTGTGTTTAGCTCAGATTCATAAATACGCAGACAAATCAACAGGTATGTAAAAAAAAAAAATGTGTGGATTTGTGTCATGGTGCTGAGATTTCTGGTCTGGTTTGTGTTTTACATTCAGATTTTTATTTGTTTCATGTGTTATTTTGGAAGAACTGACCCTGATAAGAAATTGAGCTGGTCCTCGGGTCCCTCTTTGTGTATTTAAAGCTCTGTTTTTTACTCAGTCAGGCCCTGATCCTAGTTCTTTGTGTTAGCATTTGTTATTTAAGCTTTAGTTGTTTTTCCATTCCTGCCAGTTCAGTTTAAAGTTTGGAATAAAACACTATTTCAGCTTCTGTGGTTTCTGTATGCGTTTTGGTTCTTGTCATGCCTTGAAAATATGACATTTTGATTCATCTTGTTGACAAAATACACAAACTTTCATCTAAAACCTCACTGGTTTTGATTTTGGGTGAGTTAAAATGAACTGGTTTACCCTTATTGGACTAATAACTCTTGTTACTGGTGCTGTTGAAGCTGTGCAGCAATTTGAAACCCAATTTTGTTTCTTTTTTGTCTTTATCAGTAGTTCTCCAGGTTTTCTGAGGGTCTTTTAGAGTTTTTTTTTTTTTGGTTTCAGTCATTTTCATAGGGATGTTATTTTGTCAGGCCAAAACTTGGGCCGATTTGTCTTTGTGACAGGATGCTAGTAAAAAAAGGACCTAAAGCTGAAATGGCTTCTTGCTAAGTTGTCTGTTGGGTGCTGACTGATTCATCCCTTGAGTTTAGATCCTTTCATGCCTACATGATTTACAGATCACTTAAAATTATTCCTCTGACAATGATCAGGTTCGAGAACTGTATCTGAGTAAAAGAGGAGCCAAAACTGTAAGAAAAACTTTGAAATCTGACTGAAAAATTAAAATGTGATTAAATATTTTTAAAATGAGCTTCTTCTTTATGCCGTAAGAAGTAGTGTACAGCTAGGATCCCTGTTGTTTGTATGAAGAAATGAACACTTTTGTTGAAACTAAAACCTAAAACTCAAAGTTGGAGCTGATTTTAAGTTAAAATAGACAAAAAAAAAATACAGATTTTTTTTTCTTGCAGGAGCAGAGACTGAGGTATCTTCAGCAGGGAGGCAGATCGAACCAAGGGCAGACTCAGGTAAGGCACACCTGTTTGTCCATCAGCAGTCAACACGATCGATATCGCAGCTAAATAATCACTTCTGAGTTTACCTTTTGCAGCTGCTCAAAAACTGTTGAAACCACAAAGAAGCACAACGACGGTAGATTTTGATTTATTTATTTGGGTTTCAGTCTGAAGCGGAGAAGCTGCAGCGGCTCAAAGAGCGTGTGGACACGCAGGAGGCGAAGCTGAAGAAGATCCGAGCCATGAGGGGCCAAGTCGACTACAGCAAACTGATCAACGGAAACCTCTGTAAGCCTGCACACACCGCAGGGATGACCATGTGGAGATGATGATGACGGCACAGCATTACGAAGTTAAATGGAGACAGTTTAGTCTGACTTTTCTCCTTTTATTTTTGTCTGTTTGCAGCTGCAGAGATCGACCACATGAGCAGCCTGTTTCAGGAGAAGCAGGCGGAGCTGCAGTCTGCTGTGGTCAGAGTCGACCAGGTATCATGGAGGGTCGGCTGTGGTGAATGTACACGTTCATGTTTCTGTGCTCAGGCACTTCTCATGAGTGGCAAAATGTTCAACTGTGACTCTTAAAACACAGGACTTGAAATTAAAGGTTGTTAAATTCCAAAGATCTTACAGTATTTTAAAAAAGACTCAGTGACAACAGATAAGAAAGGCTGATCAGAAATCCCTTTTTGTATGTAAGGACATTTTACAGAGGAAAAAAAACAGATAATTAAAAACCTGGTTATATTATTGGACTTGATTTGTCATTAAAATTAATAAAACAAGAATTCTAAAGGCCAAACCGATTCATACAGACTTTTTAAGTTTTGTTTTTCTTCTGAGGTTTTGAAGTCCGGTTGCAGAATTCACCTTTTAATGTTGTCTCAAAGCCGACGGTGTCAACATCTTACTTTCATCCACAAAGTAAACTAACAGAACAAACACATTTTTGGCCAAATCTTAGCAAAAACATTGCAGCTACTAAAAATATTAAGTCTGTTTACTTTATAATTTGTCTAAATAATTAGAAAAATGGCCCTTTTTAACCATAAAACCATAAAAAACTCAAAGTGGCCACTTTAAATCCGTATTTTTCAGATATAGCCCTGAATTTTGCCGAATTTGTTTGCACAACATCTTTTCCCCACTATAGCTCCTTAACATGTTCCAGATGATGTCTGCTTTTTAAAAAAATGAAGATTTACATCATTTTTACCTGCTGTCAATGACAACTTCTTAAGGTTGTTTGTTGTGTAATTCACCAGTTGACTCAACAGTTGGAGGATCTGAGGAGAGGACGCCTCCAGCTGCAGTCTGGGACCACACCTCAGGGGGCTCCCACCGGTCATAAAGGCTCCCCGCTGTCCGGCCCTGCAGCTGTGGAGCTGAGGAAACTCTACCAGGAGCTGCAGGTAAACGCCACCTTTTCACAAACCTCCAGCCAACGTTCATCACAGACTCAGCAGGTTGGAGTTCTTCAGGTCAGAGACTCTAACTTTGGTGTGCTTCAGGCTCGTAACCGTCACAATCTGGAGCAGAGCAGCAAGTTGACCCAAAACAAGGAGCTGCTGAACAAGAGGAACGTCCAGGTGACGGTGATGGACCAGCGCATCTGTGACCTGAGGGAACGCCTTCACAAGAAGAGAGCAGAGGTAGGTCGGTTTTCTCTCGTCGTGAATTTGTCAAGAAACGTAACGATCGTTTAAACTCGAGACTGTTTCTGCTCCTCCAGCTGAGTCGGATGAACGGTGGAGGACCGTCCTCCCCTCAGGCGTCTCCTCACTCTGGTGGGGGAGTTTCAGGTCGAGTGGCGGCAGTCTGTCCCTACATCCAGGTTCCATCGGAGGGGAGACAGGATCCTGGGTGCCCCCTGCCTGCTGACCCACCACCCAAACCCACCCCACTCAACCACATTCGCTCCCTCTCAGGTTTTAAACTTTATCTTTTCTTTTTTTTTAATCACTGTAACACTCAGGTTTCTTCCTTTCTAACTGTCCTTTTGTTTCTTTTTCCTCTGTTGGCTCCTCTTTTCCTTTTTCTTCATCTGTTGTTCTTGTTGCCATTAATGGTCCTGACTAATGTTTTGGTGGTGGTTGCTGTTGTGGCTGTCACTGTGGTGTCGTCCTGCTGTTCGTTTGTTTCTGCTGGTCGTTACTGTCTCGTGGTTGGTCTTGTTGCCTGTCGTGGCGGTCCAGAGGAGGACAGGACTGGCACCAGCAATTCTCCCAGCCAGTGGAAAGTGTCAGATTTAGACATCGTCCTGCCCGAGCCCACTGAGGGACATGGATCCCCTCAAGGAGGGGACGGTAACAACAGTGAGTCCTGGAGCAGTTGCTAATGAGAGTTTTAACGTCTCTCTGCTGTTCGGTACCTGCACTAATTCAAACTAAGGTCAAATTGTTTATAGATGCCATGCATGCACAGCCGTACAAAGTTTTGCTAGTAATTTGGTTTTGCCATTATATAAGTTTAAACAGTCACGACAAACACTGACGGCAGAAAAGCCCGAAGCAGAGACCTGGTCCTGGACATTCAAACGTCTCGGACTGTTTTTGTTATAATTAAACAGACCAGATGGTGAGAGAGAACTTAATTAAATCAGAATCACAAAGTGACCTTAAAATGTGAGGGTCACGTGCTAAGGGACGCAGACGAGACATCCGATAGTCAGCAGCTGCTCGAGGTTAGAAAACAGCTTCAGAAAATAAACGGAGGCCAAACCGCAGACCTGTATTCAGTTTTATTCCTTCAAACCTTCTGAACTGGTGTGGAAGAGTGGGCAATAAATTACAAACAGGAACATTTATGTGCCACTGTAAAGCCTAACAGGAAGTTGTAATGTATCTTTTGTAATGACAAAGGCTACGACAGAGCCAGACTCTTATTTTGAAGAGTATGAGTTTTGCATTGAAACTTGATGTTAAAATCCACTTTATTTAAAATGGGGACATCGTGAGTTTAATAAGCGCTTAAAGTAAATTAGCCAAATTTAATTTTCATATTCAGTCTCTAGCAGGTTGATGAACAAGCTACAAAATAACAAATACAGCATAAAAACGAAAAACAAAAAGCGCACAGTTGATAAAATTACACAAAATTGAATGAATAGAAACACAAACAGCGAAAAAGCAAAACAAGTCTGCTGACATATTTGATTACTTAACCGTAGTTCAGTAGATTTAGAGGATCATCTGTAGGATGTTTTGTCCCTTAGTTGTTCCATGTTTGATCTACATGATAAGAGAAAGCTGTTTGTGGTTTTATTTTTTAAACTTTATACTTCTGTGCTCACAGCGCTGCTCTTTAGACAAACAAACTGAAACTGAGCCTCAAACAAACTGTCAATGTGCGACAACTGCAAGTCGTACAGAAGAAGTCCTTGAACTATGAGTGGCAGAAACTTTGGTGGCTAAAGTGCAACATTTTATATATCTTCAGCTCAAGTAGGTGATATGACGGGTTAAAGAAACCTTCTAGAGACACACTGAGTAAAATAAGTCAAAAATGTCTGCGTTTTGATCTGTAAACTGTATAAGAAGGGCAAAATCTGTGGGAGTAAAATACATTTGTAAAGTTTAGACAGTTCAATGGTTAGTTTGTCACATCACGCTTCACTTCTTTGTAAAATCTCCAAAAATCATAAAACTTTAACGATCATTGTGTAAAAACTGTCAAAGAAATCAAAACGGCAGTACATACATGTGCATTCCAATTTTATGCCACTCGTTCAAAGTTAAATGACGATTCTATTGTTGAATCTTGCAGAAGTTTTTTGCTAGATTTATTATATATACATATATATATATTTTTCCATGTTTTGTCTACTCTAGAACATGTACAGTAGTCCCTCATTTATCGCGGGTGATCTGTATCCTGAAGCCTCGCGATAAGTAGAAAAACCTTGAAGTAGGGAAAGTAGTACCAGTAGTAAGTAGTAGTTTATTTTAGAGTACGTGTGTGTGTGTGTGTATATATATATATATATATATATATATATATATATATATATATATATA